ATTCCCAGGAGGAAAGAAAATAGGAATTGTGGGAAGAACAGGAAGTGGGAAGTCCACTCTGATTCAAGCTTTGTTCAGGGTCGTAGAGCCATCAAGAGGTCGAATTATTATTGATGGATTGGAAGTTTGTACAATTGGTTTACAAGATTTGAGGAGTAGGTTAGGCATAATTCCACAAGATCCTACATTATTTCAAGGGACAATAAGGACTAACCTAGATCCATTAGACCAACATTCTGACCATGAAATTTGGGAGGTAAATAAACATAAATCATCTTACACCTTTTTTTTTAATTTATTTATGATAATTCAATCTCACATTAGAAATATATATGATTATTGAGTTTAATATATAAAGATTCAAATCATACGCTACCAATAACTTGAGTTTGAACTTTGAAAATCAATAGTTTGAGTTCGGAAGTTATTAGGTCAGTGATGACTAAGTTCTAACGGGATATTACTGATAATTCTTAATTTAACTTTCGAATATATGTACAATTAGGTCGTTAAGAAATGTCACCTTTCAAATCTCATAAGGCGTGATCAAAGACTCCTAGATGCATCAGGTAATCACCTTTCTATAATTACGTATACATACATATGTGGAGCTGTCGTCAGTATCTTTCTCTAATTATATATTTTATGGGTGGGAGGTGTTAATGAGAACGTTTTTGTGTAATTGGCTTGCAGTAGGGGAGAATGGAGAGAAATGGAGTGTTGGAGAAAGGCAACTTCTGTGCCTAGCAAGAGCATTGCTAAAGAAGAAAAGAATATTGGTGTTAGATGAGGCGACAGCTTCGGTTGATGCAGCTACGGATAATGCAATGCAGGAGACGATAAGTCAAGAGACAACCGGATGCACTCTCATAACCGTGGCGCATAGAATACCTAGCATAATGAAGCATGACTTAGTTCTCCTTTTAGACAACGGTAATTTTTTTCTTTAAACTTGAGTCATTAACTTTACAATGATAATATTATTATTTTTATTTTTAATATTATTATATATATTTAAAGATTATCGATAATAAACGAATTTAGGAGTGAAATTCATAATTTTCTCAAAATTGGTTGGAAAATGCAGGGAAGGTTAAAGAGTATGACTTGCCAAGAAAATTGTTTCAAGATAAGTCTTCTTGTTTTTACAAGTTGGTAGAAGAATATGTGGGAAGATCAGAATCCAACTCCTTAGTATAACAAATTTATACGCAATGCAATGTTGAAATTTCTTGTAACAAATAAAGTCCACCCTCCACTTACAATTAGGCAGAATAGAATTCAATTTCATTTTATAGAATTATTTTTTAATATTTCTAATACTTCTTTTTTGTTTTTCCAAATATTATATTTCCTCCAAGTTTTCATATTGTACTTAAAGCTTGTAGATATATTATATATAATATATATCGCAAGTCTTTGAGAACAGTGTGCGTGGGTCTAAAAAGGCTGCGGCTGCGGCTGCATCCAAGAAGAGTCTTATTCAGGACATGCAAAAGTCACATAAGAATGTGTGACCTGTTTTGACACCTGATAAAGGCAAGATTTTCTGTCTCATAAACCCATGCATACATTTATATTAACAACGTGACAAATATACACGTGTACGTGTGCTCTATATATATATATATATATATATATATATACACCCACTACCACTTACTTAAAAGCACATATTTTTTTAGGTCCTTAACTTTTAATTTTTTTAACAAAAATAAACAACTTATTCGTTGCTCGACAACTACACACGTAGAGCACGCGAACATGTGCTACGTACATTTATACCTTTTTTTTTTTAACCATGCAATTACAAAATATTTTGTAGAATTATGGTGAAGTGATAAATTCAAGTTTTAGATAACATGCCAAAGAATTTTATTTGTATCAATAAACTTGATATTTTTGTTATCCGTAAGTTTCACATTGTAAATATTAAAGCAGATTGTAAATGCTCAAAAATTTAAAAAAAAATAAATTTATAATTTAAATATAAAAACGAATAATAATGTTAGAGTTTATATTCATTACACATTAAATAACTTAGGGGTTAACCTCCGCTAACTCTTGAAGGGATTCGGAAGGTAAGCTACTCAGAACTTTTTTGTTGATTGAGATCTAGATCTCAATTTTTTTAATCTGAAGCGGTTAATATAATGGTGAGCTACACTGCCACTGTAAGAATATCACGTTAATCACTTATACGGAAAATAAAAGTTGGTAAAAATTACAAAACAACTTATTGAGCCTTTAATTTAAATAAATTCATTTATCATGAATAAAATCGTTTATCTCATACTTACTGTTATGAGTTTTCTAAAAATCAACCTATCAAAATCAATATCCATACAACTTTTCAATTTCATGCACAAGTAAACAAAAAAGACAATTTTTATTTATTACCTGCTTACTGGTACCCCTAGAAATCCATAGAGATGTCCCCCTACACGTGAACCAAAAATCTAAATTATCAATTAACCAGTTGTTTTCATACCCCGTTCGGTAATGAGCGTCAAATATTTCATTGTCTCGATACTTCGTCCGATATGAGGGTGAATCATATCTTTCAAACCCTTATAGTATAGGACTTCACAGTCCCATCCAACTAAAATAACGTTCACGGTAGGATTCTCTATGTACTGGGCATGTCCGCCCTTTCCCAAGATACCCAGTAAGTCTTTCACATAAAGATCTCTAT